CTGATCCAAAGTATGCTCAGCACCCGTGACCTTTCCAGTGAAGCTTGCACCCATGTGATGAAAGCTAAGTTGTCTACTGTTGCGGATTTCGAAAGCAAGTTTATGTAGATGTAACGTTCGTTGATGAGCTCTGTCAAGAGCACAATTAAGACATGTTCAATTCTGTAAGGCTGTTCTTGATGCCATCACTCTATTTTTCAGAGGTCTTCCACTCAGTCTATATCCGTTGTAACTACCCAAAGACGAGGAGAAATAACTAGAAGTCCAAGTCCGCGTGAAAAAATCCCAACCCTTACCAGGGATTGAACCCGAAACCTCTAGCACTCGAGGAGGACACCACGCCTCGAGACCACGCAACCCCCTTCCTACCCAGATTATTACTGGCATGCGACAAATGCGACGTCATCTGACTAAAATATTTCAAGAGAAAGTTCTTTGGTCGTGTAAAATTTAATGGGTTTCTTTTGTTAGACTTTGTAATACTTACCCATGTGTGTATGCGCGTATATAAACATTTGCGACCGGTCGACTGTTATTAAAAATATTTTGGTGTTACCTTTTCTTCGGAGTAAGCAAAGCAGCCCGACGAAGAGGTCTCAGGCTGCAGGAGCAACACCCAGTTTCGAAATTCCCCAGGTAATGTACTTTGGAGAATAGAAACTTTATCCCTGGCCACAATTGATCTCAAAAACAAATTGAAAGCCATCAGTCATGGTTCCTTGCCATTTGACGTAGATCGGTGACATCTGGGCGGTGGTAGACGATTTATTTTAATTTTCAGATAATTCAGTCGTCTGGAAAGAACAAAAGACCTTGGCAAACATATTTAACGATATTTGTGGTTAGTTGACAATTTGATTCAGATAATGGTGTAGGTAGGTAAAAGACATTGATACAAACCTTGTGGCTGTGGTGTATCTAATGTGTGTATTTATTTTTCATTCATTGTCCTATTCTGCCAATGTGTGTCGTATGGGGCTCTATTTCTCGATTCCGTGTTATCCTGTGCAGTCAGTTAGATATCATGGATGAAATCTAGTTTAGCAGCTTTAGTCTCTCTCACCAACGTTCGTTTAAGGTTCCTTTTGGGCGTCCTCGCCTCCTTAATCCATAACAATGCCTATCGGTGATTTTTGTTGATTTTTTTTTTCAGGATGTGTCTAGTATAGCGCCATCTTCTCTGTCTTATAACTGTTGATACGAATGGTTGCCCCTGACATTTCTCTTATTTCTTTACTTCTTTAAAATTCATCTCATTGTATTTTAAATGTCCTCATGTATTTGCTTTTGAAGAAGATTATTATGGCCTGGAGAGAATGAGGCACATGGGTGTAACCAGAGGGTCGGGCCGGCTCACTACACTCAGAGGAAAGCAAAGACGGACTTTTAACCAGATTGTGATCGGTACCATCAGTATCGGAACTCTGCGTTGGCTGCTGAAGATGAGGACGGAGCATGACCGGGATTGCCCAAAGTGCTGTGATTGTCAACTCAACTCAACTTGCTATCAAGTGCATTCAACCTTGGTTCCTTGTCTTTAGTGTTTCTTTAAACATGCTGAAATAACGTTACAACTAAAAATGTGTAATTTGATTTCAAAACTACGAAGTTTAGACTTTAATATTTTGTTCAAGCTTTTAAAAGCTGTCGATGCCTTCCAAATGCTTATCATAATTCTGTATTTGTACTTTCTTCACTTAAGAGTCCAACTCGTAATACCAACCTACCGCGATCGAAACCCATTGCTTGCTGTGGATTTTTGTCATGGTATATGACGTCGCAGGTCGACCCAGTCTAAAATTGTTACCAGAATGGCTGTCCTGGGGAAGTAAAGACGGCTGGCGTAATGATGACCACATTGCTCATCTAGTGCCAATTGGTCTGTAAAAATATGGGAGCTCTTTCCACATGCCCGATGCGCCCAAGGCGTGAAAAGGGATCTTTATTTTTACTCTCTGACGAGGATCCTGAAATACTTTGTGTAGATTTTTAACTCAAAATTGTACCCGGGAAGCGCTGTTATGTTACTCTTTTTGATTTCCAACCGCCAAGGGATTTTTTACGTGTGCAACAATACACAGGCTCGTCCGATTTCCCTACCTAGAGACTAGGTAAAATTACTAGAAATCCATGTGAATAGAAATAAAAATCCCAGACTTCACCGGGGTTTCAACCCGGGACCTCTAGAACACGATGCGGACTCCATGCCTCGAGACCAGGCAGACCCCTGGTTTTTTTTTTTTTTTTTTTGTTAAAAGAAGCTATGAGTTGATTTTATGGAAGATATATAACTGAGATAAGAAACAGAAAGGGACAGGCAAAAATTGCATTTTATAAAATGAAGAACATCTTGTGCAATATATCCTTGTCATTGAGAGTTAGAAAAAGAATTCTTGGTTGCTACATACATCCAGTTTTAACATATTGCTGTGAATCCTGTACAATCGGTAGGCAGGCCAAACAATTTCTGGAGGCCTCAGAGATGTGGTTTTACAGAAAAATGCTTAGAATACGTTGGACAAAAAGAGTAACCAAGAGGTTTTGAAAGTGGCGGAAGCTCGAAGACAACAAAAGGAGATAAACATCATTTTTCGGACCTGTTATGAGAAGAGGGAAAAAAGAACATGTGACCACTAGAGAAATCTGTGGAAGGAGGGATAGAGGAAGATAACGAGGAAATATTATTGACAGTCTTTTTGCATGGCATCTAGGCGTGTCAGCACACAAACTGATACATGCTGCAGGAGATCGCAGATTGTAGAGAGGCATGATCGCCCATGCCAGTCGGCAAGGTGATGATGATGATGAGTTTATTTAAATATGTTGTTTTTAAAGGCCCAAAGGTGTGATTGATTGGATGCATCAGTTATAAAGGAGCTTTGAGGATGTCAGAACATAAAGCGGGAGAGCTATCTGGATGTTGCTAGTCCACTGTCCTACCTAAACCCAGTAGCGGTGTCTGACAAACTCTTAATCTTAAAACAACCAGCCATCAACACAACTATAGTCTCCCCTGAGTGGTGAGAACCTTCAGGAAACGAGAAGGACAAATCCTTTCAACAAGGGAAAAAAAACCACAATAATAACAATAATAATAATAATAATAATAATAATAATAATAATAATAAGGAGAATTATGAGGACAAGGAGAAAAGGTAGAAAAAAGAGTCACAAGTTTCAGTGCTATATTTGAGTTAGGGTTATATAACGTTTAACAATTCCAATATTTAATGTGCTGTTTTTCTCCACATTTTCTACATGTGCATTCACAGTTGCCACGTTCCTTATCTAATTTTAATTTCTTTCAGCATCCGCCAGTATCTATTATTGTATAGAACAGTTGCGTATCCTTTACAGGTCGTTGCAGAACCAACCCCAACAGAACTTGGCTGTTGTGTGGTTTTTCTAGAAAAATTTACGTCCAGTAGTTTGCCATATTATTATATAAGCAAACTTTGAACCTGACTATGACAGATGCAACACGGTCATTACAGACGTTGCAGTTGGCAGTCACTGCTGCCTTCGGCTGGTTTGTAAATGCAGATGGAGTCAGTCAGTGCTGCCTTTAACTGCCTTGAGAATCAGATGTCCACACATGTTGTAATTATAGCTGACTCACAAAGTATGTTGAGAAAGATGAAGACAGTCATGCTTCATGCAGAGAGGCCAGATTAGCTTCAGAGGTCCCGGGTAGTTAGCGTCCTTTGCATATTTTCTCCAGGGATGCTGGTGGGTTGGGAAACGAGCAGGCAGAAAGACTTGCCTGTTCTGCACCACTTCAGGGTGAACTGATGTATGACAAGCTAGTTGTTTTAAAGGCCATTTAGGAGCAAGTGAGCTGTGCAAAGACACGAATCGATCATAATGGTCTGAGGAGAATTTTGCTGCGCGGAGTTAACATGTGATCTGACCGACGCTCAACACCTAACGGACAGGCGAGACGGATATACAATCAGACAGTTAGTGATGCTATCGAAATTGGAACTCTTCGCTTGCTGCTGAAGATGGGGACGGAACTTTCATGGGAGTGTCCCGAGTGATGTGATGTCGATTTTTGATTAAACTTTCAACATTCGGCATTCAAGCTGTTGCAGTGGAAGAATGAGACTAGAATTATCTGTGTTCCCGGAAATATACTTTGACAAATACTATGAACACCATTGAGCCGTAAGATTCAGATTGAGAAGCATTAGTATGAGCGCCTTATATCCCCTGTATGATACATACCGCCCGTGTGTATTGTTGCGCACGTAAACAAAAATCCTTGGCAGTTGGAAATCGAAAAGAGCAGACTAATGGCTCTGCCTGGGCAAAATTTGGAGTTTAAAATATATCCGAAGTATTTCAGGATCTTCGTGCACTGTGATAAGTTTCTTCAGATCCATGCTTGAGTCAGAAGTAGAACAGAGCAGCTATGGGTTACCACTCTTGTGCCATGATGTTGATAAGTTGCATGAACCAAACTACAAAATGATTCTTAGAATAAAAATACATGATTTTTATTGAAAACACCATCCGGTAATTTCGTGCAGCAGGGTACCAGCCCTGGGCTTCATGAACTCAGGTGGGCCCACCTCCGAAAGTGTCTAGGAATCGTGGGCCAAAAAACTTGTCGACGAGGATAATTTCTACTGATGACTGGTAGATCCCTGCTGTACTTGCTCCCTGTGAGTTTATTCCTAGTGTGAAAGATATGAACACAATAGAAAACTGACTCGTGTAGAGCATCTTGTTTAGGAAGCTGAAGCCATTTCACTACATCAAGGGATACAGTTGGTTGAAAGAAATAACTGATGATATTGTGGAGCAAAGGGACTGACAGGCTCCGAATATTACGATGGTGGACTTAAGAAATACGAGTCATTAGGCAGTTAAGAGGATGTGGGCTGTTGTGTCTTGATTTTAGGCGGACTGTGATGTCTTGATTTTAGGCGGGCTGTGATGGAAACGACTTTCTGTGAAACAGTATATATTATTTACTCTTTTTTTTTTCAGACCGAATGAATTGTTTCACTACAACAGACAAAGGTATGGCGGCAGTAATCAAGGTTGTAACGATTCGAAAATCATCCCTTTGGCGATTGCTTGGCTCGATTTTTGTATTGCTCCTGGTGCTAAGCAGCATTTATCTAGAGTCATGGAAGATTGTTACCACCAACATTCATTACATTCCTTTCGGGATTTCTGCGAGTGTTTCCTTAGGAAAAACGCAAGCACAAGACATAACAGACGCCGAACACTTAAGACAAATCGCCAGAAAAGTCCAAGTTGCTGGAGTTAACTGTGAAGCTTTATTAGATGGCGACAAAAATGAAATAAAAGCAGCGCTAAGTCTGAAAACAAACGCCAGCATTCCACTTATGGACTCGTTTTATTTAAACATAACAACAAATTGTACAGACTTTCAAAAACAACGTGGCTATATTATGTCTTCGCTGACGAATGAGGAAAGGAACTTTTCCATAGCGTTTTCAGTGATGGTCTATAAAGACGCTGAGATGGTAGAGCGACTTTTACGAGCAATCTATCGCCCACATAATGTTTACTGTATCCACGTAGATTACAAATCTCCATTAGAATTTTTCAGAGCTATTTCAGCCATAGCCAATTGTTTCCCTAATGTGTTCATTGCCAGTAAAAGAGTTGACGTGAGGTGGGGAACATTCACAGTGCTGGAACCGGAGCTAATATGCATGGAGGAATTGTGGAGGTATAGGAAATGGAAATACTTCATAAACTTGACAGGGCAAGAGTTTCCTTTGAAAACAAACTACGAACTTGTGAAGATCCTCACTGCCTACAACGGATCAGTTGATGTGAGGACAACACTGAAATAGTAAGAAACTTTAGCACAAATATTTTCTTCTTCTTCTTTTTCTTCTTCTTCTTGTGATTCTTTTTCTTCTTCTTCTTCTTCTTCTTCTTCTTCTTCTTCTTCTTCTTCTTCTTCTTCTTCTTCTTCTTCTTCTTCTTCTTCTTCTTCTTCTTCTTCTTCTTCTTCTTCTTCTTCTTCTTCTTCTTCTTCTTCTTCTTCTTCTTCTTCTTTTTCTTCTTCTCCTTCTTCTTCTTCCTCTTCTTCTTCTTCTTCTTCTTCTTCTTCTTCTTCTTCTTCTTCTTCTTCTTCTTCTTCTTCTTCTTCTTCTTCTTCTTCTTCTTCTTCTTCTTCTTCTTCTTCTTCTTCTTCTTCTTCTTCTTCTTCTTCTTCTTCTTCTTCTTCTTCTTCTTCTTCTTCTTCTTCTTCTTCTTTCCTCTTCTTCTTCTTCTTCTTCTTCTTCTTCTTCTTCTTCTTTCTTCTTCTCTCTTCTTCTTCTTCTTCTTCTTCTTCTTCTTCTTCTTCTTCTTCTTCTTCTTCTTCTTCTTCTTCTTCTTCTTCTGCTGATGATGATGATAATATGTGGTGATTAGGCGTTGAGAAAGTGGAGAACTTAATTTTTCAATAATTGACATCTGCGTATGGTAGTTGCGTGCTGATTTGGGAAAGTGTAATAGTGTGTGAAGGGACAGAGTGGTATGATTTAACTTTCTGTGAGTTCACGGAGGAATAGTGTCAACATGGGCCGAGTATTGAGATGAGAGAATGTTGACCAGTGAAAATGTCTTATCATGAACGAGGCCACAGGCACAAGAAAGTAGACGCGTGGGTTACTGTGTGGGAGCTGACATGCATCGATAATGAGTATCACAGAGAGAAGGGTGTATTACGTGAAAGCGTGATTCTCATGTGACATCAGCCACTCACATAAGTGTGATCCTTGAGAACGCTCCCTTGAGCGTGAGTCTCGAGAACACCCCCATGAGCATGTTTCCCGAGAACACCCACATGTGCAGGCCTCTCGTGTAATCTACATGAGTTTGACAGGGATAAACTAGGGCTGTGTAGACAGTCCGAGTCAGTGAGCTGTAGCCATAGGGCTAAAGCACTGAGGAAGTGCGGGTGTAGTACACACC